AAGAGATGGGAGCTTGGGCTTCAGTCTGAGGTTTTGTAGAGATAGCATTTAGTCTGAGGACTTGTAGAGACAGGGTACCATTTGGTTTTGAGGATTTCATAGAGGTAAGAACTAGTGGCTGGCTGCTCTGCTTCTCTGATCTTTCCGCTTTCACCCCCTAATATCTGACTCCAGGTGTTTATCATTAAGACCCGTTAGAAATCACACGACATCTGTACACCACACATGTGGCTAACACCCACAAAGGCCAGGCGAGGGCATTATATCCCCTGGAACTGAAGTTACAAATGGTAGTGAGCTGCTATGTGGGTGCTGAGAACCAAATTCAGGTCCTCTGAAGGCTCTTAACCACTGAGCCATCTCTGCAGGCTTTCTATCCACATTTCGAACCCAACCATGGCTTAAACAATTGATTAGTTCAGAGACCCCTCACAGATACACCTTGAGATGTTCACAATCCAGCCAAAACGACAAGATCAGCCATCACAGGCAACAAAATGCTGTAGGTACAATGCCAAAGGAAGGAGCAAATGATCACATAGAGAGTTAAAGGGATTTGAAGACCTGATTCCCGAGTGCCTGGGCCAGATCAGGACTGTCAGGGGGGCATCTCAGCAAACCAAGAGGGGCATTTGTGAGGAAGAAAGAACAGCATTCCCAGCCCCATCCTCTTCTTACCCCTTATCCTAGGCCTCATGGGACACGAGTACCTATTTTCCCCAGAGCTGAACAAGTGGCCCCTGAGAAGGATGTGTTCTCAGAAGGAGAGAGGGGGAACTGCAGCCTGGAAGAACAAACCGCAGTGAAATACCTTGGCTCTCAGAGTTTGTCTGGCAAGGTGAGAATGAGCCTGAGACCCTGGGAGCAGAGCTCCTCATGGGTCTGTCTCAGGCCCACAGCAATAGGGCTGCCTCAAGGACAAAGGGATCCTGGCTGCTGAGGAACTCCCTGCTTCTGTCCTTCCACTCTCTACCCCTAGAAGCATCCTCTTCAAGACCTGTAGACCTAGACCAACCCCCCAGGTCCTGAGCACTTCTAGACACAGGAGAGAGACCCAGAGGCACTAGCCCCCTGGGCCAGCCTGAGTACAACTACAGTATCTAGGATGGCTGTCCAGATACTGGCCAGACCTTCTCACCAGTCTGTTTACAAGATAAACATGCATGTCCCCCTAGACCTAGAAGGGAACCAGATTGCTGCTGTCATCGTTGGTTAAGAGTGTCCAGAAAACTGAAATCTCAAGGTCCAAATCAGGAGCAGATGGAGAGAGAGCACAAGCAAGGAACTCAGGACCGCGAGGGGTGCACCCACACACTGAGACAATGGGGATGTTCTATCGGGAACTCACCAAGGCCAGCTGGACTGGGTCTGAAAAATCATGGGATAAAACCGGACTCGCTGAATATAGCGGACAATGAGGACTACTGAGACCTCAAGAACAATGGCAATGGGTTTTGATCCTACTGCACATACTGGCTTTGTGGGAGCCTAGGCTGTTTGGATGCTCACCTTACTAGACCTGGATGGAGGTGGGTGGTCCTTGGACTTCCCACAGGGCAGGGAACCCTGATTGCTCTTTGGGCTGACAAGGGAGGGGGACTTGATTGGGGGAGGGGGAGGGAAAAGGGAGGCGGTGGCGGGGAGGAGGCAGAAATCTTAAATAAACAAACAAACAAATAAATAAATAAATAAGAAAAAAAGAAACAAACAAACAAAAAAAAAGAGTGTCCAGAAAAATCTGCCTTGGATTTGCCATGGGCACAGAGAGGACACGGAGAGACACACAAGAGGGACACAGGCCCCATGAACATAGACACAGAAACTGAAGCTGTGCTGTCACAAGCCAAGAAACATCTGGAAGTAACCAGAAAAAGCAGGAGGCACTCTTCCCGAGTGCCAGGTCCTTCTGACACCTTTACCTGGAACCTCTAGACTCCAGAAATGAAGAATCCCCACTGCTGTAAGCCCCTCTGCTAGTTGTACACTGTCACACACACTCTAGAAAACCATGGGACCTCCAGTCACAGCAGGGATAGATGGAAAAGGGGATGCAGAGCAGGGCTAGGGCCCAGAGCTCTCTGTCAAGCTATAACTTTCCAATGACCCCCTCCTGCAGCCACCCTCCCCTGCTGAGAGCCCCGGGAGGAAAGCTGGCATCTGCTCCCCGAGCCACCTACAACAACACACCAGAACCCAGGAGGCCTTGGCCTGCCTCCCTGTTCCTGGTAACCAACCCTCATCCTGTCCTGTAACTAGGAAATTTTCCATCATCCTACCTCCAGGTCAAAGTCATTAGATTTACTCATTAACGGGGAGGGGAGGGAGTGTTAATTAATAGGGTAGAATGATTACCCATGCTGATGTGGACACAGCTGGATGTTAAGAACAGCTGATCTGACAAGCATGGGAGACGCAGGACCTGACTGAAAAGAGGCTGGAATGTATTCCTGGTATATCACCCACCCCCACCAGGAGTTCTGAAAGCATCAATAGCCCTTTCCTATGCCCTGCTTTGGCAAGCACCAAAGAAGAAAACATTTGCAAGCATGTAATGGATGTAACCCATTTGGGGACAACATAAGCCCAATCCTCCCGCTAATATAACAGGGTTGCCTCTTGTTAAGCCAGTTTCAAGGCTGAGGAAATTAAGAGTTTGAGAAGCTAAACAACTTGTTTAAGGTCACAGACACTAAGTGATGGAACTAGGATTTGAGCCCAGGGGGGTATAGGAACCCCAAGGTAATGCTGACCACCCCACCCTACCCCACCCCATCCCCGTCTCTCTCTGTCTCTCTCTTTTCTCTTTATCTTGGGAGTTACAGCATCTTGTTCCCCTACTTTTGTGACACTTTGTTCTGGTAGTATTGACCACTTATCAACCACTTGGCGCTTAGACTGACTGAGGTCCAGAAGCAGACACTGATCTCTTCTGAGTTCTGCCGCACCTGCAGCTCTTCAGAGTGCTGGCATGTGCAAATGTTTGTGGAAAGAGTCAATCCAACCTGTAAGATGGTTGGGGCTAACCACCCTATGGGCTGGTCTTCTGTAGATGACCATCTGGGTGCCCATGTTTTTCAAGAAGTCATCTGGGTCAAGTCCTGGCCCCTCCTCGAGCTTCATGCCAGTCAAGTGTTCCTGGTTTCTAGCCCAAGGGCTCCTGAGTCTCTTCCACAACTAGTGGCAGCTGTGGTTGGTGGAACAGTAAGGCACTTTGGAAGAGAGTGTGTTGAATGAGAATTCATGCCAGCCCCGTTTCCAAGAGTACCAGCTGCAAGACTGCCACCAGGGCCTGGCACAATTGCATTGACAGGATTTTTCACAGGCAAATGGGCCTTTGAAGCTCCTTCTCCCAGCACATGGCAGAAAGCATGCATCTACACCAATGGGGCAAAAGCAAGGTGTAATCCATTAATCTAGAAGGTAGCACAGGCAGCACAGTGGCCATTAGGTGATAGCATCACCATGTCACACCTCTGTGAGCTTAAATATCCATGAGCCAGAAGTGTGCCCTGGAGTAGTTATGACTCTGCAACCCGGGATGCAGTGGAGGGGTGACCACTTGGGCACTCTTCACATAGACATATATATGTGAGCAGAGAAAGAGACAGACTCAGTCCCCCTAAGCTAGGAGCCCTATCCAGGCAGCACAGGACCTCTGCAACTCCCAGCCCTGTGTGTGAAATCCACACTGCTTCCTGCACACAGAGCAGGTGCTCACTGTTACTCAGCTCAGGGCACAAATAAAGGTCAAAGCAACATGCACACACCTTCACATCACCACTCCATTCGACCTGCGGAAGCTGTGCTGGGGACCGCTCCACCTCCCTCCGGCCAGACAGGCCAGGAAACTCTCTCTTTCCTCTGACCTCCCTGGACACCCTAGACCCTGCCACCACTGCTACACAGCTGCTCCAAGGAACCCTCTTATCATCCCCACTAAGCCTCTCTTGGCCCCCACCTAGCCTAGAACTTTCAGAAAAAGGGAAGTCGGAATCTGGAGACTGAGACAGAAACACTGAGAACAGCAAGGCACCCTAGGAATTCTGGGGCTAAAATTTAAGGGAAAGGAATCTAAGTAAACTAGACCACCCTGCGAGAGTGGAATCTCATAAGGGACCAGATAGAGGAGGTTCTGCATGGAGACAAGCCAGGAGGCCCCATACCCCCCCCCCAGCACTACATCAGAAGTGGGCTGCCTCTGGGTCAGCTCCCTTACTCCACGGACCCTCAAATGAAGCACGGAGATTCTGACACCGAAAAGGAGGTGGGGGGTGAGCTCCAGTCAGAGGTGGAGATTGTTCCTTCAGGTCCTTCAGTCCAGGACAAGGGGACAGAAAATGACTCTCTTTAGAGGACACAGTGTCCCTAAGAGTGTGTGTGGGAGGGAGAAACAAAGAGGAAAACAATGAGTAAGGCACCCATGCCTTGTTTTCGAGGTTAGGTGGCTTCACCACTTCTTCCGGAACCCCTGCACTGGGATGTGCCCCACTATCCAAACAGAGCAAAGAGGCTGTGAGAGGGGGCAGGGCGAGGAAAGGCGTTCCCAGAGTCTCCGCTACAGTGAACAGCAAATGGAGGGCCCACTGCTGAGTGGCTGCAACCTGGCCTTGCCCTGGAGAAAGCTGAGCCTGCCGGCTGTGTAAAGAGATCCCTAGGGGAAAGGGGGGGGGAGGGCGGCTATTTTTGGAGGAAAGAGGGGAAGGGGCCATGGAAAGCCTTATAGAGGATCCCAGACTGAGGGTTAAAGCTGCCCTCTAGAGTGGGGGGTGGGTAGGTGACCAAGGCCCCATTCTCCTGGAGCCTTGCCTAAACCTGCGAGGACCCTGCCTCACACGTAGATCTAATCTACTGGGAAGTAGAAAAAGATAAGATCTCCTGAGTAAATTGGGAGCACGGGGACCTTGGGAGAGGGTTGAAGGGGAAGGGAGAGGCAGGGAGGGGAGCAGAGAAAGATAGATTAGATAGATAGATAGATAGATAGATAGATAGATAGATAGATAGATAGGATTAGAAACTGCTGTCATGGCCCTGCTGTGTGCCTCCTCCTGCACTGGAGGCTTTTCTTCTCCTCTATCTCTGTCCCCTGTGCCTCCTAAATCCATCAGGGGCCCCTCCCCCAGTGACCCCACCCTAGTACAGGGCACTCCAGGTCCTATGAGCATCCTTTTGTCCTCACTGGTCCCATACCAACGCAGTCCGTTCTCCTCGTAGCCTAACTTCCACGTGTCCTGTCCCAGTACAGCATTTTCCTCCTTCGGCCAACAGGGAAAGTGGACACCAGTCATCTGTAAACAGTCCTCCCCACCAGAGGGGCGCCCTACTCCATCCCCCATCTCATCCTCAAGCTCCCCTTGCAGGCCTTTCACCTCCTCTGCAGCCCCATAATGTGGCAAGCAGAAAGTGAAATCTAGTTCGTAAACAGGATTGGCTTTCACCCCCAGGCTCCTTCTTTACCCTAAATGGCCCGCTCTCCTCTCTCATTCCAGCCATGCTCTTGAGACCCTCCTCAGCCTGCTCCTCCTCTCCCTGTTCGGGGTGTTCCCGAAACTGGACAGGATCCAAAGCCCGTACCTGCCCTCCAAGTTTTCACTTCCACTCTAGAGTTTTCCTCAAGGAAAAGTCCTCTCTTAGTCTAACCTTAATCTCTCCTGCTGCGTGCCTAAATGCCCTTTCCACCTTTTCTCTTTATGAAATCTCCTTTACATCATAAATACCATCTTCCTCTCAGACCCTGAAACCTGCCCCAGCTTGAAGAAGTTCTTTTCACATCTACCTCCTGCCCAGAGTCTAGGATACCTGGATGCCCGCCTGCCGATGGACTACGACAGCGACCCGACCAGGTCTGGCTCTCCAGCCTGAGGGGCGGCCCCTCAGCCGCCAGCGCAGCCACGACGGGGTTAAAGCTCAGGACTTGGGGAGGAGGGGGCCGGGAGGGGCGGTGCGGAGCCAATCCGCAGCAGCACAGTCCCCGGGCCGAGTGGGGCGCGCCGAGCCGGGAGCTGCGAGCCGAGCCTAGCGCCCGGCTAGGGCCGGGGCTCGAGCGCAGCGGAGAGGGAGTCCCGAGTTCCCAGCCCGAGTCCCGCCGCCGCGGTACCCCACGCCATGGAGCCGGATAACAGCCCACGGAAGATCCAGTTCACCGTGCCGCTGCTGGAGCCGCACCTGGACCCCGAGGCGGCCGAACAGGTATGGGCAGGGCGGGGCAGCGGTACTCAGCGAAGGACTAGGGACCGGGTCACGGAACCTGAATCCTTGCCCAGCCCCCCTGCCTGGCCCCGCACCCCTCCGGGGATGCACTCGCCCAGTTTATGGGGGGTTTCCAACCCCTCCCCCAATGGCGGAGCCACGTCTCCCAGCCAGTGCGGGTCCCTGTGCGGGGTGTCTCCGAGAGCGTCGTTTCTCCCTGCCCTGCCTTGGGGACACGATCCCTCCCCCTCTGGCGACCTTGCGTCCCCTCACTCTCAGTCAACCCCAGGAGTTTCCCGGCTGGGTGTTGGCACTGACCGGGAGAGAGCACAGGGCGGGGGGCGTCAAGTGTGAAAAAAGAGACAGCTCCGCCCCTCCGGCTCATCCGCACTTGGGCTCTGAGTGTGGCACCCAAGGGGATGGAGACAGCGATGGAGGAGCTTTGAGGCGAGGGCGGGGGTCTGCAAGCTGATGTTTGTTCCCTTCTGCAAATCGGAGCACGTGGGTCCTGGGTCTAACTCCTGCCCTTTGGAGTAGGGGGTTGGGGGTGGGACGTGAGGCTCAGTGCGGTCGACTAGAGAGAGTCTCGGGCTGGGGTCAAGTCACCCAGAGAGCTTGGCTCACCGGGTGGGAGTGCAGGGCCCTGGCCCAGCCTCCTGGCCTGGCCTATTTTTAGCTCAGAGCAGCCTGGCAGAGGCGGCAGTGTGTGAGTGAGCAGTGTGCTTCAGCGTCAGCGAGCGTATGGAAAGGCTACTACTACCTGCAGCCTGTCTCTTTGCGCATTCCCTGGCCATGTGGAGACCAACTCCACAGGAGCATCTAGCTCTCTCCAGGCTAGGGCTGCCGCTCACTGCAGAGCTCCCCACCTGAGAGACTCTGAGACCTCTGGGGATGGGCAAGAGGGAGAGAGGTTTCCACGTTGCTTAGGCTGATTGATAGAATTGGGTGTGGACAAAAAGGGGATGGCACATGTGCTCTTTAAAACTTCTGCTCCTCCAGGCAAGGGAGGGCCAGGTACCCGGCCTTCCAGCACCTCCAGAACTCACCTCACACACCTGAGGGAGAGGGGAGAGGGGGAGGAGGAGGAGGAGGAGTTGTTCCATGGGCTCAAGAAATAGGACTATGCCCTAAGACAGGAGATTGACTAAGATGACTTCTGACTCAGGAGTGGGGAGGAACCAGAGGTTCTGAGAGCTGCCTCGCACTGGCAGACAGGATCTGACACCTATTTCTGTTTGGTGTTGAGGTGGGAGGGAGGAAGGCAGGCTTGCTGATTCACGGAGTTGGGGGCAAAGGAGCATATGTGGGCACGTGACAGTGTTAGGGAGCCAAAGGGGGCAAAATCTGGGGCTCTGCCCACTCTTTTCTAGTCTTCAGAAATCTGTCTCCTGGGCCTAAACGTTTGCCCCCAGTCCTTCCTGCTGTGTTACCAAGTGTGTAGACAAAAGTTCCAAGCATAGCAGGAGCTCCTACCCCAGTGGGAAGCTAAGGGCACAGCAGAGTTGGGAGTGGGGGCTGCACCACAACCTTCATATGCCCTTGAAGACTAGGAGAGCTGGGGGGCAGAAACAGAAAAGAGACCTCTCTGTTGGGTGCCTAGGACCCAGGGAGTCTGGCTCTCCTCCCTTTGACAATATCACAATTCTCAAGTACTCAGGGTCCTTCAAATCCTTGTCTAGGGCAAAAAAAGTCTGTTACGGGACCTGTTCAGCCCCTTGGGCTCCCAATATGGGTACTGTTAAGTTACTAATCCTCATTCCACCCAGGCTCAGTGACTTCCACTCCTCTCCATGACCATCCCAACCCCCACTAACCATCTCATCGCACCCCTACTCAGTCAGAAGGCAAGGAGTCAGATCCTGGCAAAGAGTGGGTCCCACTGCTACACACATGAAGCATCTTGTACCAGGAACAGCCAGAGACAATTCACACTTAGTATCTAAACACACACACACACACACACACACACGTCTGGCTCTACTGGGACATCACTAAAAGCAGATGTCACTGATGTCCCCTGAAGCCCCCTTCCATAGTGCCCTTTTCCTTTGGGAAGAGACCCTCTGGCTCACACAGGCCCTACTACTATTCCCACTTTCTAGGCATCTTGTCACCTCCAGCTACCACTGCCAGTGGTGACAAAGCCAAGTGATAGATACAAACACATCAAAACCTGATCATTTGGGTCCTCACGCCTTCCTGCTTCCCCACACTGTTTGCTTTACCTGAGAGAACTGCAGGAGCTCTGGAAGGTCTTCCAAACCTTCCCCAGAAAGGGAAAAACTACACCTCCCAAGAGTCAGTGGAATTCAGCAACAGTCAGCTTAATAGCCAGCGGGACAACAATTAAAACCGCCAGCAGGAGGGAGGCTGGAGCCCAGCTGGATCCTTAGCCACCAATCAGCTTCATACCCCAGTTTCCCCTGGGGCTGGCCAGGATGCTAGCCAAGACCCCTCCTCGTGTCCTGTCCACCATTGGGACCACTTCCCCTGTTCCCTAACTAATCAGAAAGCCAGTGTGTCCAAGGCTAAAGAAACCTTATAGTGTTGAGGAGCTGTGGCGGTCAGGGGAGAGGTGTACTCAAACCTTTCTTCCTTCACGATGGGAGAGCCTAAGGGAGCCCTTCCACAGACGGGCCCGAGCCCTTTCGCAGAGGGGTATGAGCCCCCCAAAGGTTAATGTCTGCTTAGGGACTGGACTGGAAGCTGAGGGAAGTCCTCTGACCTCATGTTATTTCTGAACATTGATCCAGGATTGACCAGAAGACAACAGAAATCAGTGCCCAGAGTGGACAAAGCTGTAAGGAAAGCCGAGTAGGGCAAGAGTGGGGTGGGAAGGCAGGCCAGGGAGGAATCGCGTAGACGGCCCAGGTGAACTTCACACGGTAACATGACACTCTTTAGAGATGGACAGAGTTGACCTGAAAGGTGTTCCTGGTGCACTTCAACCTCTTCCTCCTCCCCTAACACAGATTCGGAGGCGCCGCCCCACCCCTGCCACACTTGTGCTGACCAGTGACCAGTCATCCCCAGGTAACCCTGGGGACAAGTGCTGGGAAGAAGGGGGTCCTTGTAAGAGGGTGGGTGCTAGAGAGGAAGGGCAGACCTGGGGGTAAGCGTTCACCCCAAGATGGGGCTATGCTAGGAGAGGAGGGCACCACCTGGTCTCTAAGTCTCCCAGGAACTGGGGTGGTCAACTAAGTGCAGGTTGCTGTGACAACAGCCTTCTAGGTTTCTCCAGCAACTGAGATGTCACTGTCCCCACTTCCAAAGGCAGTGACAGCTGTGAGGGGGAGAGACCGCCTCCATCAGCAGGCATCAGGTCCGGGGGGGGGGGGGGACGGTTTGAAACAGCTCAGGGAGAAAATGGGATTCTGGTCACCAGAGTCCCCACCAAGGTCTGGAGACAGAACAAGGTCTTGGAGAATGTCAGAAGAGCTTGGTAAGTATGCAAAAGAAGTAAACAGGCTAGTCTGAAATCTGGGATGCCCAAGTCTCCAGCTTCCCCCCAACTTCCGTAAATGATGCGCATCTGTGGGCCTGGTCAGAACGAATTTGGTATTCTCTCTCAGGGAGCCCTGCTCCTGGGAAAGCTCAGCTCTGGCTTTGGGGGTGAAGAGGAGGGAAAAAAGCAGAAGGACCCCAAATCTGCCTTCACAAACGTCAAGGCCTGAGGCCAGGAGACAGGCTTAGGCTACAAGGCCTGAGCCTTGGCAAAGCCAAGCAGCAGTACAGGGGGCTCCAGAGAGAGCAGGCTCCTGGGACAGCTCGGGATGCAGGTGACTATGGAGTCCCTTCTCCTTCAGAACTCAAGTCTTTGGGGACTCCCAGGATTTCCTGCTCTTATCACTGGCTTTGTTGTTGTTGTTGTTGTTGCTGTTGTTGTTGTTGTGTTTCCGATTTCCCTCAGAGATAGATGAAGACAGGATCCCCAACCCACTTCTCAAGGTGAGCTGGCCCCTCCTACTCAGTCCAGCCTCAAAAGTCAACCCTGGCCCTCTAGATCTAGGGTGTGGCTCAGTGAGAAAGAGCACCCACTTAGATAAGATATACAGGCCCTGAGTAAGCTCCCCAGAACCCAAAGCAAAAGCCTTGTTCCCCACCAGTAAGGCCTTGATGTTCATCTCACAATCTCCATGCTCAGCCTGGCGGAATCTTCTCTCTCCTGAAACCCACCTGCCCTGACCTCTAATCCAAAAGCATGCCAAGGCAAAGGGGGTGGGGGAGGACTGGCACCTATCCAGGTTCTGTGTCTTCACAGTCCACTTTGTCAATGTCTCCACGGCAACGGAAGAAGATGACAAGGACCACACCCACCATGAAAGGTTTGGCATCTCCTTTCCAATTTCCCTTCTGCCTGAAGCTAGGGAGAAAAGATCTAGTAGCCCTGTGCCGGGAACCCTTGGGAGGCCACTGGGTCTGCCTTTATTTGAGTAGAGCTGGTGCTATGTGCAGGAGTCTCTTGTAGCCCAAGCCTGAATGCCACCTCCTCACTATGGTAGATAAATAGCACGTGACCTCATCAGCACAGCACGTGGAAGGTGCTGTATTTCTTGACTCCAAACTGAGGCCTCTCTCCTGCCCCTAGGGAGACCATGGACACTAGTACGTTAGGAGTGTCTTGTGTACGTGAAGACTCTTTCCCTCTCCTACTTGCCTTTGAAAGAACATTTATGCTCCTGCTTTTATGTGTCTCCTTGTTGCCCAGTCAGTGTTCCTCCCTGTTTAGGATCTCATCACACTGGAAATTCAAGCACCCAGAAATGTGCACAGACCCATTGGTGGGGCTACTGAATTTGAAAGAACCCCCCAAGGGAGATTTTAGGCAGTCATAGTCAATGTTTCCTCCTTTCTCTATGCCCCCAAGAGCTCCAGACGATGGTTGAGCATCACCTAGGGCAACAGAAGCAAGGAGAGGAACCTGAGGAAGCTGCTGAGAGCACAGGGACCCAGGAGTCCTACCCACTTGAGATCCCAGACACAGGCTCAGCGTCAAGGCCGGGTACTCCTGGGATAGCACAAAGTATGTACAAGCCTGGGAGGTGTGTTCCCCAGCCAGCTTTGCCCACTGAGGGAAGGGGAGGAGTCACAGCCTGGGAGAGATGGAATAGCAGGCCTAAGGCTCAGTCAAGGACATGATGTATTCCGCACATCACGTTTGAATTGCTTTGTCTTACTGTAAGCTACCACCTTGGACCACAGATATCTTCATGTGGCTGGGAAATGAGGAAACCCCACCAGGTTGAAAACAGTATTTGGCCCTGCAACAGAGCCAGGGCTACAGTCCCACCTCCACGACTGGCCAGTTCACCGGCAGAGCTGGTGTCTGTTTCACTGGGGTTGCCTTGGAGTCTTCCAGTGAGTCTGGTTCAGCACGGGAACGCAGAGCTGATAGTGTTAATCCACAGCCACGGTTCCAGATTGTTCCAGAATTCCTACCATTTCCAGCTCTGTGAAAGTGACACACACTGTCTGTTCTGTGTGTCAGGTAACACACCTACCTGGCAGAGCATCCTGCAATCAAACACATGATGTTTTCTGCAGTCCAGTGAATAGTTACACTGAGTGGGATCAAAGCAGTTCATGTCAGGCTTAGCCTCACCTGAGTTTATGATCTAATTTTAGTTTTAACTTTTTAGAGGGTTTGGTGGTTTTGTTTTGTTTTTACTTTTCAATCCCTGGCTGGGGGTGGGGGTGGGGGGGAGTGAGCTATCATAGTAACTGACCAGAGGCAGTTAGGTCTACCCTACCAATGGCAGGGTAGATCTGTACCCAGTGGGTCTTGGGGCCCCTTCTCAGCAGCTGCAGCCCCTGTATAAGGGCTGGTTCTCCCTCCACCACTCACTTTCCCTCCCTAGAGCCTGCAGCATCCACCCCCAAGATTCAGGAGCAGTGTGGTGTGCAGCCCAGCACAAAGGACCCCTTGCCACCAACGGATTCCCAGGGAGCCAGCTTGGTAAGCTCCATGGGCTGGGCTTTGGGCCAGCAGAAGAGCAGGTTGTAGGGCCTAGAGTTTAGAGCCAGAGGTGTAGACAAAAGAGCAGCGTCATTCAGTCACTGAAAATTTAACCTTTGTGGTACGAAGCCAAATATCTCTTCTGACAAAGAGAGACGGGATTAAGTGGCTGCAGGGAGGATCAAATGGAAAGTTTGTTATGTATGCCTTCTGGAACAGGTGATGAAAGTAGGCCACGGATTTGATTTGATTTTTAATAAAGGGCAGGTGGAACCAAAGTATTATGGGCTGAGAGCAGAGATACTTCCCAAACCCTGACCAGAAGAGAGGGCTCAGATGAGATTAACAGCAGCAGCTGCCTCTGAAGATAGCGAGTTGGGCTGACCAGAGGGAAGGATGACACCATGGCCCGTCGGTCACCTTCCCTTTCCTCCCCTGCAACAGGTCTGAAAGGAGTTGGCATCCCGGGATCGCCACTGCGGTGTGGAAACTCATGGACACTGGATGTTCCTTAATCTCTTGTTTTTAAAAGTGATAAATTTGGTGTTAGGTCGTTGGTGCTCTTCTTTTTTCCAGCCTGGGCATTCCTTCCTTCCTTAGCTCTTGTCTGCACGCCACAGCCCCCCGCTCTCAGGACTAACTAGGGGAGGAAATAGGAAAACTGACAAAAGCCTAGATTTTATGTTCATAAAGAGAAATGGGAGTCTGGAAGTCAAAGAGCACCTCAGTGCTTTCTTTCCTTACTGAGGAAAGCTCTGCCCACACAGAAGGGTTGCACTCTGGGAGACTGCAGGTCTGAAACAGAAGCCCTGACAAGCTGGGCATCCTGTGCTGTGTCTCCCTCTGCAGGACATAAGTGGGAAGTGCACCTTGTCTCTAGACCCTGAGAAGAAAGTATTTGGAATTGTCTGGCCTCCATCCAACTCTGTGGCCACTATTCCTTATTCCAACCTGATAGGAAAGACTGTCTGAGAACTCAAGTGTCTAGAAACCCAATGGACCACCTTTTGTCCTTCATCCTGAGGTCAGGGTAAGACTAACACCATGCACAGGTGGAGAAATGGCTTCTGATCCCAAACAGGCTTCTCATGATGCTGATTCTGCTTTTCCCAAAAAAATTAAAGAAAGGAAGAAGGCAAGATTCTTTCACCCTCTTTGCTGCATCAGTGCGCCACAGCTTGGGTGGTGCCGCAGATAGCCTTCCCCTGGGCCTCTCTCCATTCTCAAGGAGAACACCCTGCCAGAGCTCTAACTCAGAAGATGACATGTGAGAGAACACCACACACATCCAGCCAGTCTCCCTTCTTTATTGATCTCTGGCTATATCAGGGGCCTGGGAGACCAGAAGCATGGGGAGTCACATGCGGTTCAGAGTGGCAAGTCTAACCACCATGGAGATGGACTTCACGAGAACAGGGCCCACTGTACAGATGCATGGCTGGTATTTACAAGAAAGGAGGAGGCAGCCACCTGGACTCGGCCTTTTCTTGGATGAGGTGGGGCAAGGAGCCTGAGGACAGGAAGAGGCTCTGCCTGGCTGCACTTGCTCTGTGTGCCCCAGGCAGCAACAGCCCTGCGCCCTTCCCCTTCTGCCTTCCAACCTGAGAGGCCCAGGGAGGGGAATCTCTTCTTAGGCCAGTTCTGGGAGAAGGAAGGCAGGAAGGACCCACTCTGACCACATGGATTGCTGGGTCATACCTTACCCCACTTGCACCAGGGCCAGCTGTCCCCTCCTTCCTTTGTTCATACACACTGAAGGAAGATCTCAAAGCATTTACAGACATTGGTCGGATGAGAGCCTCTTAGTCCCGGGGACAGAAAGGAGGCAAAGGGCCAGAGACCCAGGTAGGGCAGGTGACAAGCTTCTCAAGCCCAGGCCAGCCCCAAGTTCTTGAGGACCCCGGAAAGTCTTCCCACAGGCATAATCCCAAGGCTCCCGTCCTCTCCCAGCCACTGCCTGGGCAGAGGAGGGGGAGTTTGCAAGGGAGCGGTGCTAGAGCAGCACGTCTGGGGTCAAGAGGCTGTCCCCACCTCATCCTGCCCTTCCCATGCGGGCCCTTGAAAACTGCCAGCTTCCTTGGGAAACGGAAACCCAGACCTGCCAGCTAAGATCTGGGGTGGGGGCTGTGGGAACCCCCAAAATGTATTGCTTAGAAACTTGGAGGCAAGAAGGATGGGGAGGGCCAAGGGGGCTGGCATCTGACCCTCCCCTCCAGGCCATAGGAAGCCTGAAGGAAGCTCACCCCTCCCAAGTAGCCACCTACCCAGCAAGGGGTAGGCACAGTGACCATTGGGGGCCTGTGGTTCCCCAGGCTTGTGTCCCAGTGGGTATTGGGTGGGGAGGGGACCTTCCCCCACCCCACCAGCTCCAGCATTGGGCTTTCAGGTGAGCTATCTCTCCCACGACCAACACACTCCCTTGGAGCAGATGGGGGAACCACAGTCAGATGGATAGTGCTAATGACATCGAAGACTTTGGACTCAGTGAGGACCTGTCGAAAGAAGGAAACACTTCAGTGTTCTGCTCTTGAACTTTATCTCTTAACCTGATCTTCCTTCTCCAAATCCCCTGCAGTCCTCCCTTCGTCCCCTGTCAGATGCATGGCAGCCAATGGTACGAGCTGGGCTGAAATAAAGTCACGTTTACTCTTGCCCCACCGAACCTTGTACCCAGACTGCTGCCTGCTCCATAGCTCACAGCCCGGCACATGTGTCATCCTGTCTGCTGCTCTATCCTTTCTTCCTTCATGAAAGAATATGGGGCCAAAGAAGGTGACAGGAGTCCCTTGCTCCCCACCCGTGCCCTGGCTCTGTCCTGTGCCTCCAATTCTTCTCTCCTGCTGAGCAGAGCCCAGAGAGCCACCTGAAGCCACGCTGGCTTAGCTACCCTCCTGCCTCCTAGCTCACCTGGCCAGCCCCCAGCTCTCTAATCCAGATTCCCGTTCTGGTTGCGCTCATCTTCGACAGGGGAGGGTGGGGCCTCTTCCTCACAGGGGGATAGTTCGTCAATGGACATCTGGTTGGTGATGCCTGCAGAGGGTCCAAGGAAGCTGACGTTAGGCCAAGAAATAGTTTCTCCAGAACCAAGGTGCATGTAAAGAAAAGAAGAGGCCTGGCTCATCTACTACCTCCTCCAATCTGAGCTACCTCCTACCCCGCACACAAAAAAACTCACAGCCCCTGCTCACAGTGCAGCAGGAACCACCAAGTAACTCAGATCTCCAGGGGCACCATTTGCAGACAGCCAGTGTGCAAGGAGCCCAGCCATGGCACGCGCAGAGGGTCCCAGAACTCAGAACACTGTGGCTGTCCTGTCATCTCTCCAGCTTCCATTCTAGAACAGCCCAAACCACTCAACCCGTCAGCCTTCGTGTGGCCTCTTATTTTAGTCTGACTGGCTCCATTCCCAACTTGAAGAGTCAAAGAGCTGCCTGGGGCTTAACGCAAAGGGGCTGCTGTTGCTCCACCAGCCCTAGAATGTTCACACACATGCACAAATAACACCCACCACTTGCTGCCCGTTCCTTCCACTTCTGTTTGTTCTCCTGAATGTGCTTGGTCCAGGTGGAGCGGAAACTGACCACATCAGGGTTGGGGTCTCCTACGTCTACATCTAAAGAAGGCTGGCGCCACTGGAAGCTAGAAACAAGACCCATTCAAACGCCCAATTCCAGAAGTGAGACCCAGCCCTCTTCAGAATCCCATTCTTAGCCCTCAGCATGGAGAAGATGGAAGACCAGAAAGGCCGGAGTCGTTTTCCCTCTTCTAGATACCCTCACATCCTTGTCTGACTTCCCATAATTGTAGCCCCCCCCCTCTCCACACTCAATCTCCTGGTAGAAGGAAAACAAGATTATCTGAAAGACAGTTTAGACGCTTAAGGAAAAAACAATGTAGGGAGCCTAGGTGAGAGCTAGGCTCAGTATTCTGTGACAAGAGAGGGGCTCTCAGATCTGAAGCATCCTGCCTGCCTCCCTCCCTTCCCCCTCCCTCCCTAACCTCTTGCCTACCCTCCCCTCCCTCCCATCTAGGCTGAAAGAATCATCTCTGTGCAGCCAATGGACCAGGACATGGCTACCCCAGCCACAGTCACCTAGGCTGACTTTTAGACTTGGAATCATCATCCGCCGAGGGCTGGACACTCTTCTCTGCCACATCAGTCAGCACAGAGAAGGTGGGCTCCACAATGAAGTCGATGAAACCTGCAGGAAGGGAGAAGCAGCACAAGTGTCGCACTTGGAGGACAAGGCAGACACAGGAGAGCCTGGTTGTGAGGCTGTAAGTGACAAAGCCTAGAGGGTGACCTGGAGTGAACTCCCCCGCTGGGACAACCTGGGGACAGTATCTATGTGAGCCCAGAGAGACCCTTCCAATGCAGTGCTAGGTATCCAGCCCAGAATCCTTGCCTCAACAAGAACAGTTTAGGGACTTGGAGGTGTGGGACAAGCCTGGCCAAGCCCAGACAGCCCCTTTCCTTGTCCCCCTGGACTCACCTATCTGGGACTGGGCCACCAATGTGGAGGTGCGATCACAGAGTGGAGAGAAGGGCAGCCCCAGCTCTGCTTCCTTGTCACCCTGGGAAGAGAAGATGCCTCAGAGTTGGGAGGGCTGGGGGGAGAAATGGCTGCAATGGGAGAAGGGGACGCTGGAAATGAGGGGTGAGTGGAGATAACCCGTGTCCAGCTCTGTGGGTAGAGACGACCCCACAGGCTTGGGATCAGTTCAGGAGTGGAGCTCTGGAGTAGGTGTGGGAAGCTCCATTGACAGGGTTACCTGGCGGAAGAATTCCTCCATCAGGGCCTTGGTCCAGCGGCTGTGGACTGACCACTGCTTGGTTGGATGGCTGATGTCAGCAGCATGAAGCAGAAGAGATAGGGCCTTGGACTTGTCAATACTGATTAAGGCAGGTGTTAAAAAAAGGGAAACTGATCTTCTAGGAAAAGGAGACCTTGGCCAGTCTCCAACTTCCAGTCACACAAACACTCCTTTTTCACATATCTCTAAGAAGTCTACACACAAGCAAACTCATCTGTATGTAGACATAGAAGCACAGATCAGTAGCTGAGAACCCAGGCTCTTAGCATCAATGGGCATGAATGTGACTCCCCCTCATCTCTACCACCCACGATTGTGAGACACTAAGCAAGTTACTGAAAAATCCATAATTCATTTTCTTCAAGCCAAAAGTGAAAATAACAAGCCTGTCACATGTTGAGTTGTTCTGAGAATTAAATGACTTATAACAAGTATTTCTGACACATAATATGCACCAGGGATGTTATGTACAACGGCCATCATCATGATCCTTGCCATTAACCCCCCAACAACTGCCCACAGTGACCCCACAATCCCCATTCAGACACTATACACAGGTCAACACACACCTCCAGGACACTGAGCCCATTCTCTCTTACCCACACTTATATATTCCCAGTCACTTCTAAACAGCGTTAGAATTATAACATTTGTTCTGTCTTCATTTTTGTTCTTTTTTAACCTCACACAACTCTCCCAGTGGCCTTCTAAAATAGGAGTTAGTGTGAAGGGAGGTACTTCACAGTTATCATTTCAGATAAGGACAAGGGTCTAGAAAAATCCGAATATATTTCCCAACAACATTCCTGAGTAATCCTGCCCTGCAGCTACAATAAAAATTCCTATCCACGCTGGGGCAGTGAGGAGGCAGAGGCAGGTGGATCTCTGTGAATTCGAGGCCAGCCTGGTCTACAAGAGCTAGTTCCAGGACAGGCTCCAAAGCAACACAGAGAAACCCTGTCTTGAAAAACCTATCCAAGTTCCTGGCCAATGCTCATCAGACCTGTTAGACAAATCCAAAGCCATGTTCACAAACACCACACACAGCCACGTTCACTCAGATGAGTGCCTGGAGTCAGGTAAGAACCTGGAACACCAACTGCTCAGTGTACACACTGATTCACAAGACCCTCCCTCTGGCCTGGCCCTGCCTACACCCCTTCACGTGCTACCTTTCCAGCTGCTGCAGAGCTGTCTTCATGGACTTCACTTGCTGGAAATGGCAGGACATGTCTGTGGCCAACACCATCTCAATAACCAAGGCCCGAAGTTCTCTAAGTGGACAGACAGAGAAGAGACCGGTCCTCTCAGCACTGGCAGGACTAAAGGATATGGGGAAAAGAAGGCTGGGATAGGGTTTCAGGGATGCCACATGCTGTCCTGTGCTCACACAAACTCATCCTTGGTGAGATTGATAAAAATGTTCATCTCATCGTCCTGCATCATTCGGAAAACAGAGCTGATGTGGTGGTTCTCCAGCACCGAGCGGTCATTGTACAGGATGGCACATTCAGACCTGTGGAGCTGTATGTTACGCCCAGGCCCCTGTAAAGGGCTCCGCCGGCAACCTTGGCCCCCCCTGCCCCGACCATGCCCTACTGCTCACTTAGTCTGGATGTGGAAGCTGTTGGTTGTGCCTGTGTGCTCATAGTCATGGATGGCTGCAGCAAAGATGATGGCCAAGACCTCAATCTCTGACAGGCAGTGCTGGGGGCGAGGAAGAGGAGAAACTTGGGCTAGCCCTCTGCCAGTCACTGCCCAGACACCCTCACAGCTACAACATTCCATCCTAGCCCTCTGCCAGTCACTGCCCAGACCCTCACAGCTACAGCATTCCATCCATCATCAGAGCTAGCCATGTGTTTCAACTCTCCTCTGTCCCCAGCAGTCATATACCCACATGTATCCCCAACAGTGCCCAAGAAATATTGGTACACCTGAGGATTCTCTGGACGAAGTTAATGCATTTGACTCTGCAGGTGTTGGCACCCCATGGAA